TGATACCACTAACACATTGGTATGATTTATACCGTTTGTGCACATTCACACATATTTTTAGCCCCAGAACACAGTACTGACCATTTACCGCACAGGAAAATTAAGTACAGGATTCCTCATAGAGTGATATGATGAGCGGGTTTTAGTATGGCGGTGGCGCATCTATACATTCGCATAAGTTTTAGTTATACAATATGCTGTTACAAGAAGACAGAAGTGAAAAGCGCAGTGGAAAATAGCGCTACCAAAAAATCAGATTACAAGTAACATGCCTTCAGAGTTCGTATTAAATGGCAGCTGATCCAAGTAAACACCCAGCATTGCGCATGTAATGCTCGAGTAACGCACACTTCCCATCGGTGCCTGCCCTCTGTAGGAGCAACGACCGTTTTTTGCTATGTTTGCTTGTATTAGTGAGCCATCGATGCACTCAGTCCAAGTAAGGCCGGGAAGTTTTTTTTGTAATATAGCCCGATCGCTCGTGAAACGTACGGGCAGCATGGGGCGAGGCTATAGCCTCGAATCGCGCGATAACAATCGCCCCATCGTTCGATGGGACAGAGAATCAGTCAGTCCGTCTACGATTTTTTGATTTTTTGATGGCAAATTGGTACTGTTACAAGCTTAGAAATCAAACCCGCCATCAGCTTGCTTCGTAAGCAACCATCGAAATGGGGGTACCCCAGCTGACACATACACTGCTTAAATGTAGCACTAGCTTTTATACAACAGCGAAACATGCTACATACCTACTTTTTTTCCTGTAGAATCAGTAAAGAAAAAAAAATTATAAAATTGGCAAAACTGGTAAAAATGTTAAAGAAAAAGCAAATAAAACAAACGAAATTTTGTTTCCAGGAATCATGTGGAGCTGGTACATCCGAAACTGGAAACGATTCGCCACAAAAGAATAGTACGTTTAATTTTGGCCCGGCCAAAAATAGCTTCTTTCTTCCTGTATCACTCGTATTTTACTGGAACTGTAATCACGCCTTTAACTGTTGCGGTATTTTTTTTTTTT